TTCCAACAGAGTCTTGTTCGTGTCTCCCCAGCAGTCACAGGTGACTTGGTGGCCTCCTCTCTGGTGTTTCATGGTGTCTCTGTGACTTGTAGCAGCAGCGGTGTTGATGGTTCAGTGGCTTTAAACGGGTCGACATTCATCTGGTTTAGATGCTGATGACTTGACGTCGGTCTTTTTTGTAATTTTTGCCCAAAACATGAATCTATTTGACCACAAATTAAATGTGAACCTTCAGAGGAGCAGAAAACTTTATTCACATGAAACTCGTTATTTCACATCAACACGTGACCCGTGACCCACTGAGCCTGGACCAGAACTTTAACTTGTCCAACCTGCTCTGACCAAGCTTCTCCTGCTGATGGAGTCCACAGATGAGGTACTTTGATCCTCTGGTCCTGCAGCAGCGGGAGGCGGGCCCTGCTGGGCTTTATGAGCGCAGCTGCTGGAGGTTCGGCCTCAGTTCGGGACCAGCAGCGGCAGCATGCGGGCTGAGAGCGCAGAGCTGCTCCGGGCCGCGGACTGAGCAGCTCTGCGGGACTTTGTCTAACTTTCGGACCAGGTTCGGGCTCCGTGCTCCGGAGCTCGGGCCGGACATGGAGCTGCGCTGCCTGCTGGTTCTGCTGGTTCTGTGTCTGGGCTCCAGGGTCCAGCAGGGCCGCTGCCAGCACTTCTACCTGCTGCGGCCGGTGCCCAGCGACGCCCTGCCGGTGGAGCTGCTGCGGGAGGAGCCGGACCCGGTTCTGGACCCGAAGGAGAAGGACCTGAACGAGACGGAGCTCCGCAGCGCGCTGGGCAGCCACTTCGACCCGCTGTTCATGTCGGTGTCCGAACCGGAGGACCGGAGCCCGGCCGAGGAGCCCCGGCCGAGCGGCTCGATGCCCAGAGAGATCCGAACCCTGGAGTTCGAGGCTCCGCTCGGCCGCAGGACGAAGCCGGGCAGGAAGCTGCGGCGGCGGCTGCAGCTGTGGCTCTGGTCCGTGGGCCTGTGCCCGGTGCTGCACGCCTGGACCGACCTGGGGAGCCGGTTCTGGCCGCGCTACGTGAAGGTGGGCAGCTGCTCCAGCCAGCGGTCCTGCTCGGTACCGGAGGGGATGCTCTGCAGACCGGCCAAGGCCACCAGCTTCACCCTGCTGCGGTGGCGCTGCGGGCCGAGGAGGGCCGGCCTCCGGTGCGCCTGGATCCCGGTCCAGTTCCCGGTCATATCCGAGTGTAAGTGTTCCTGCAGCAGCTGAGACCAGAACCGGCCGCAGAACCGGAGAACTGCTCCGAACTGTTTTCTGCAGACTGTAGACTTACTTCACTGCATCTCGGTTCCGTAAAAAGTTCTGGACTTTGGGTCAGAGTGAATCCTGCAGAACGTCTGATGGACATGTGTTTATTCTGTGTGATCCGACAGAACCCTGCGGAACCGGGCCGGTGCTGTATCTGCTTTTATTTATGTTCACATTTAATGGATTTCTGTGGAGAAACTTCAAGAGTTCTGATCCAAACTCAGAGAGTCTGTTTGAATCCGAACTTCTTCCTGAACGTTTCTGGTCCTCAGATGCTGTCAAATAAAACCAGACGGTCGGTTCTGAAGTCACGCTCAGTGTCGGTTCGTTTATTCAGACATCAGCAAAAACCCAAAGTGTTCCTGAAGTGTTTGAGGTTCTGGTGTCATCAGATTAAAGGTTCTGGTGTCATCAGGTTAAAGGTTCTGGTGTCATCAGGTTAAAGGTTCTGGTGTCATCAGGTTAAAGGTTCTGGTGGTTCCGTGTGTCGCTGCCAGGATTTAAAAACACAGATTCTTTGATTTCAAGGCTAAACAGCAAAAAGTGACTTCATCAGAACATTTTAGGAGGAACACCAGAGAAGCTGAGGAGGTCACAGGTGTTCTGGTTTCAGGTTTCATTAACGTTAACGCAACAGAAAGAAAACGAACCGACACCAGAACCAGCAGCAGCAGCATGACGTCAGACTGTAGGTCAGAGGCTGAAGGTTCAGAACAGAATTTACTTTATTTATCACAGACCTGGAAATTACTGTAAATTATTATACTGTAGTTATTATAGTCATGTGACGACCAGGTTAGACACACAACAGACACACAACAGATACACAACAACAGACACACAACAGACACACAACAGACACACAACAACAGACACACAACAGACACACAACAGACACACAACAGACACACACACGTCTGCATTGTTTGAGGTCATTTTTTGTGTTTGTGGGTTTTATTTTGCATCTGTGTGAAAGATAAAGTCTGTAAAAGTGTCAGAGGCTCCTGAAGCCTGTTCATTGTTTTATGTTTAATCATCCATCCATCATCT